TAACGCGTGCACGAGATAGAGGGAGAGAGAAAGATAGAAAGAAGTAAAGAACCGAATCAGCAAACCCAATTTTGACTGACTTCAAATGAACTTTAATCTTTGCTGAAAATTCTAAGGCTATTCGCGGATAAAAAAAAAACTTTGTATTTCGAGCAACATTGCAATCTCTCCTTTACGTTATTTTATCTCTAGGTCATTGTTCTTATTCTGCATGCAAAGAAATTTTTTAACACGCGACGAAAAAAATAAGCTTATAATTAAAATAAGAGCAATGAATTCTATTATACTATACGTCTTATTTCTGTGACCCAAATTATCAAAATGTTCTAAACAATCTTGCTAAAGAGACATGTTTATGTAGCAATTCCTAATGATCGATCCAGCTTTCTAATTTAAGAGATACTGAATATATTATATATTATTGAAATTAAATGAAAAGATAAAACAATTTTAATGTTATTTGTTTCTATTAACAAATACAGCTTAAAAGCAAATAGCTAATGTACTTTGATCAAATTAGTATATGGCACCCGACTAATTTTTATGGCAGGAACATATCAACGTCTGTTTGTATTTGTTTAGCAGCCGTGATCAGATTTCTCGGTATAGGTTTCCCAACCAAAGCATTTACGCTGAGAATGACGAAAACCAAACTCGAAGACCAGAGCTAATTCCGAACGATCGTTGATCAAAGCGGCGTACGTTAATTTTTTACAGTCTACGAAAAATATAAGAATATGATAATATTAAAGTGTGAAAAAAGAAAGAGTAAAGTACTTAACTTAAGATTTACTTTATGTCATTGTCTCAGTAAATTTTTTAAATTTTAGTAACATAATATTTTCAAAAATTTACACAATTTTGCATTCATATATATAAATTTTGACTATTAAAAGTTTTAGAATCTTATATTAATCAGACTTTAGTTAAACTTAGTTTTTTGTTCTCCGTTGAAAAATATATTGAAAAAAAAATGTTTGTGTTGCTTCCGACGATTGTTTGTGAATTCCTATTCACCTATATTCGAGAGCTGCAGTTGATTATTCTTTCATGAGCCCAAGCATAGTGGTAGGGTTATACAGCTATAAGGTTTCGTGATAGTGCAAGACAAAAATAGCATGTGCTCTGATCGATCGTTGGTTGCACTTATCAGTTGGCACAGAACATTGTTTAGAAAGAAGCCGTTAACCCGTCACCTACATTCGGTTTATTATGCATACAAGCGTTGCTACACTTTATCAGTCTTCCGTCCGCATGTATTTGTCTGTCGCTTTCGCTGATCCTCAGAAAACAAAAAGTTTCCACATTATAATATAATTTTTAGTATTACGTATATATACATGATATCGTGAGGATAAAAAAAAATTTCTCCTATATATTTTGTAATTTGCATATATTGACTCACGAAAAGCTCGATTACAAAAATTCTTCAAATCTCGAAAGATTTTGCCATTTTATACTTCACATTTCGAAGGAAATTTAAATCAATTACATAGTTGAAAACAAAGTAACTTTCTAATATTTTGATATATTCTATAATTTATAAGTTTCTTATAAAGACTATTATTTATTAATACTTATTAATAATTTATTTATTATATTTATATTTTATAAATATTTTTAAAAAATTCATATATTTAAAAAATGTTTACAATTATTTACATTAGAGACATACATATTCCTATATTGAAACAAATTAATCAAAAAATTTTCTTAGATTAAAAAGTCAATAAAGAAATTATAATCTCAAAAGTTAATAAAGATTTTAAATGTTGTTGGAAGTATCCGTCATGTTTAAATAAAATACTTGAGACAACTAGACAAGGAAACATATCCGGTCTTCTGCAAAGATGCATCATGTAAATACATTTATATAGCAATATTGTTACACACAGTTATAATTATAATGAATTTAAAAAGAAAATGCCTAAAAAAAAAATAATCTTTGTATCCATACTTGTATAAGTAACGGACAAGAACGCTTAAACCAGTCTATTTGGACATTTCTAACAATGAAAAGCGCAATACTGTAGGTAGAAACCGCAAGAGAAATAAGAGGAGTTATCCTGTACGTTCCTGCACTCTTTTTGTTTTCCTTATTCATTCTCAAGGCGGTCATTAACGGCCATCTACCTGCTCTACGACTTTACCAACTCGGGATTTCCTCGTCCTTTTCCGCTGCGGCGAAATGAATTCTTACGCATTCCATTACTGCGTACGCGTTCATTATAATATTTTTGATAGTTCATCCCGTGTAAACGTTTTTGCCAATTAACAGATCAATAAAAAAAAAAGAAATAATAAAATCAAACGAATCGAAAGATCAGAGTAAGATTATTTCGAGATTATCAGAGTAAGATTGTGGAATAATTTCTAAAATGAACATTTTCTTTCAAATACCACGATAAACAGTACACACAACATGAATATTAAGTATAAAGCAAATACACCAAGTAAAAATATACCACAAGCATCAATGAAGTAAACCACACTTTTAAATGTTCAGTATTAATTTTCGGTAAAAAAAATATTAACAATATTATTATATTTAAAAAAAAACGTGCATTCCCTTCTGTGAGATATTCCTATATTTACATCCTATTTTTACATCCTCGTCTACGAAGTATTGTTGCGACAGCAGCCAACGTAGGTGCTCGTGTCCGATGTACCCAGGAAAAGAAGTCACGCTTCAGGAGAGATCGCTTCGAGAGCGATCGCATCAACACGTTTCTTTAACGAGGATAATTTCGGGGTGGTGATGCGACATTACGATCTACTGCGTTTGCGTTTCGCTCTGATTCTCGTGTGCAATTTCGTGCGAGCATACTACACACGCACACACGCACACACGCGCGAACACGAAGGTGAATTTTTGCGCCTCTCTCCGTGAGAAGAAACGCTCGCACGGTTAAGACACTGATATATCTCGTCGAGGACGCCGCTGATCCCTGTGCGTTGGATACGAGATCCACCTGTGTGTACGAGTATATTCGAGTGCGTACACGGATGGGGCACGCATGGATGAGTGGGAACCCATTTCATCCCGACGCGTAAGGACGATCTTGATCGTGGATGTCGGTGACGTGAGATCGTATGAGAAGGAAACTTGAAAATACCCGCGAACGGCCTCGATTCACGTAAATCGCTTTCCCTTGATCCCGCGGGAAGAATTCTCTTTGAATAAGGAACTCGATGTGGTATCCTTGTATTATAGATCCTATTATTATATAAGTCCTATCGCTTCCTCTGTAATTACCAGTCGCTATTACATGCTATTCGTGCAAAGTTCGCAGGATGTTGCAGGATCAAATTTTTTGCATATCTGATCTCGCTTATTTTCTTATTTAATTAACACTTAAAACACTAAATAAAATAGAAAGCTGATTATTAAATTAATTAGAACTGATTTAGCTACTTTCGATTTAAAGATCGAAACGTTTAACAATACAAAGTAGGACGCGAAGAAATCTTTGCAGATTCGATTATTGAATAAATTTTAATATTCAACGTTTTAAAAATCCATATCTTTAAGAAATCTTAAGATTGAACATTAAAATTTGTTTAACAATTAAATCTGCAAAAATCTTTCACTTGTTTCTGTTCAATTCAAGCATTTGAATCTTCAAATCAGAATTAGCTAAATAAATTCTAGCTAATTTAGTAGTCAGCTTTCTATTTTATTTTTAAATATTTGTAGTTCTAATCTCTCAAATGCAAATAAAATTACCGATAAAAATTTTAACAATCACAATATAAATAAAAAAGAAAGAAAAATAAAACGCCCGATCGCGTCGCATTCTGTGATTCGTATAAAATTGGCGTGGTTTGCATAATTTTGCACGGATATCAAAAATAATATTCAAGTAACAGCAACAGCAGCAATACTCTTCGATAAAAAGACTTTATCCTCGTCTTTCCTTTTTCGCAGATTGCGGTTATTAGCTAAGATATCGGCGCTATTTGCAATGTGCTGAGTCAAAACCACAAACCGTTTATTACGCGTCTTAAGTAGGATTACGAAGGAGTAAGATGCGTACCCTTTTACCAGCGTAATAAAGGACCGAAATTTTCCTCGACGCGACACGACGTTTCGATGCCGGCACGTAAAGATACCGATAAAAACCTTAACAGACATAACACGTGTTAAGGCCGAAACACACCGATCATAGCGATCGTCATATTCCAAAACTAACTGTAAATCCTTTCACGCATCGTATTTACCTATACAAACATCAATCTTTAATTTAAAAAAAAAAAGCACGACATATTTATAATAATCTTTAATTTTTTTCTCAAGATCAGTTTTTTCTAGATCAATTATTATAGGGTTTAATTAAATCATCAAATTTGAGAATTTCTATAATCAATTATATATTATTATTGCGTAATGTCACATAATAAATGATAATATTAGTAAACAGTTAACACAAAATATAGGTAGAAAGACCTTGATCTTGCAATTTGCAAACATCAGATTATATGGCACAAGTGTGAGTCGATCTTTAAACGTTTCGTAACATCGTACTGGGCCCAGAGGTCACGACAGAAACGATGGGATGTTATTGCGCGCCGATCGTTCCGAATCAGTCGGTCGCCGTTGAACGCGCAGAGAATATCGCCTTCTCTTACTACGTTAATTAATTAAGGATCTCGGCTTGCCCGCATGGAGTCACGCGGTTCCCATTAGAGCTTAAAAATAATTAAACTGAATTCCAACGTGTCAAGGCTGGCGCATTGGCCTCGTATCGGTCCTTTTCATGTCGTTCATTAGTCATCAAATTCATTGATCTCGCGATAAACCCGTTAACAGCCAGAATTCTTTCTTTCAGAAGCCTTATTAAAGCCTTTTTATCACGTCATTTTTAATGTCGAGATATGTCAGATGAAAATAATAACAGAGTAATAGAAAAAGAGAGCGATTATTCTCTAATCCTAATTTTAACTATTCCGAGATTTAACGAATATCGAAAAAAAAAAAAAAATGATTTTGATCAACTTACCGGTGACCCTGATACGAGGTCTTGACGAGCTTCACCGCGAAAAGGAACTGTATAGCGCAGACCAGCAGGCAACAGAGATTGAGGGACAGGGCGAGGGCGCATAACGCCAAGGTGACCTCGTAGACGATCACAAATTCCTCCGGGCTGATAAGGCTGTTAGACGTGACAGTGAGCGGCGAGATCTTCAGTAGGAAGATGACCGAGAGGAGAGCTAAAAGTAGGGATACCAGACAGAGCAGTCCAAGGCTCGTTAGCATCTCCTTCACGCCAGCCGCATCACTCCGATGGAGATTCCTGGATAGGGACGAAGACCAGGAGGCATTGAGGGGTATCACCGTCGGCCCACCAGCTACTTGGCTGGCTACGACAGGAAGTGCAGATGTGGCAGGCGCGGGTGACGGTGTAGTCTGACTCGGCAATCGCGACAGCCTGGAGATATCGAAGCCGCCGTTCGCTTTTGGCCTCTCCTGATGCGAGACATTCGTTTGCGAGATTACGGTGTGGCCCAACTGACTTGCTGAGACGTTATGATTATTATTGTTGTTACCGCCACCATTATTACCATGGACGCCGCCGACCGGACTAACGCTGTTAACCGAATGCTTAGAGGTTGACAGAGTTGATACGTTAAGCGCGTGCGAATGGTTCAGGCGTTGTGACAAATTGTTCACGCTCAGCTGAGAATGGTTCAGCGGATGCCGATGTGTCGATGAAGGAGTCGTCGCCGATTGATGCGCGTTCGACACCGTCGTCGCCGTCGGTCTCGCCACGGAATCGTACACGTCGATTCCGCTATTGTTACCGCGATGCCCGGTGACACCACTGCGTGTCCCGGTGCTTCCGGTGTAGTGATGATGATGATGGTGCTGTTGCTGCTGCGGTTGTTGCTGCGACTGCGGCTGTTGCTGCTGTTGCTGATCCTGGTGCAGCGAGCTGTTGTGTAAGTGGTGATGGTGGTGCCCGCCGTGCAACGAGCCCGAGCTCGTCTGATAATCATTGTGATGATGCCTGGAGCCCGTTGACGACGGCTGCCCCGTCAGGATGTGTTTCAGCATTACTCGACACACTGGTGTCACGCGGAGTGAGGCTTCTTCTCTTTTCTCCTGATGCTGTAATCCTTACATGGCGATCTCGTGACGGAACGGAATACTGAATTGCACCAAATCCACCGTGTCATAGCACGTTGATGTTAACTTTCATCTTCTTCATACTAAATTCGTCATATTACAGGATGTCACTTTTTTTCTTCATCACGTTGAATGTCTCACGATGAAAACTAATTGTCTATCAAAAGAGTTTCCAAATCACATAAACATATAACACGTTTAATTCAATTCTCTTCAGTTTAGATTCTTCGTGATGAACAATATCACTTCTCTTTTCACACTACGCGAAATGTTTTGTATAAATGATTAAATTTCTAAACTTCGAAGCTACACTAAGTCTGTGAATTGATGTGCAATTCATCGATTTTAAATTCTAATTTCATTTTTGCTTTCTTGAAACTCGTAGTAAAATTAATCGCTCTTTAAATTCGGATCTTCTTTATTCTAAATACATAAAGGTCATTTGTTAGTTTTCTAGCCGGAGTCACCTTTCGTTCGTCCCGATTGGAATTAATTCCTTAAAGATAGAAGGAATATGCATGAACTTGAGGCTCGTTTGAACGTTACGTTCCCGGACTCAGCGAATTGCTGCACACCAGTTGCTCCACCATGGCGATGGCATCCACCAGACGGCGGCGGCGACTCTCACATATCGGGTTCACAGCGTGGAACTATACAACGACAACGGGCAGTGGAGCGAGTTCGCTAAGGGCATGATTAGGTCGATCGAAAGGTCTTCGTCTTTCTCTTTCTCCTTCTTTATCAACGACGACGCAATCAGTCGATCAGTGCGTTAAGGCGGCTGCAAGCTTGGTTTTCTACCACCGTCTTCTCGTTGGATACGCACGAACTCGTCAGCAGGCATGGCTTCCGAGATGGTGCCGGCGGTGCCTCTGCAACAGGTCGGAGAAAATAATTAATGGACTGACTGTTCACTCTCCGCTGTCGGTCGGAATAGTCGGACCATAAAAAGAAGGATAGATACGGGATATAATCTATATCCTGACCAACAACGAAGAAAACGGACGTCTTTCTCTTCCTTTCTCGGTATCTGTGAGCTTCGCGCAAGCCAAAGTATACGACTGATCATACGTGGTGAATTCTTTTTCAAACAAGATGGAATTAAAAAAAATTTCACACAGCTTTGATAAGAAAGTATGTACAGGTACATGACTACTCATATTATTAGCTTAAAAGCATCATTGAATGGAAATTGTAAACGGATTGTTATATATTACAGCAAGAAGTAAAGTAGGTGACACATCTCTCGAATACAAACGAGAAGAGAATAGCTTCGTTTTAACGGACTGCATGCCAGTTGCATCGTGACGGAGCGCTTTAAAGCGCGACCGTCGCTACTAACACAGAATGTAACGTGAAAAGGAATCGAAATTAGTCGTGGTTTTTGCAAGCGTTTCTCAATCAAAGCGTAAAAGCTCTTCGACACTTAACGTTTGTTTTGTAATTCCAACTTGTTTACGATTTCGAGCAAACCGTGAATGTATCTTTTTAAGATGTAATTTTCTTGATTTAGAGCACTTTTCTTTGCACATATATATATACTATATATATATATATATACAGGATGTATCTGAAATAACGCCCACTAATCATATAATCTTATTCCTAATAAAAAAATTGAGTCGAAAAGTTCTCTACCATTTTGCAATTTTCGCAATATCTTTTTTTAGTTACCTAATGAGCAAAATGTCTAAAATCAACGTATTTACACACTTTAAGATACCTTAAGAATTCTTTAAGAAACATCTTTAAAATATATTTCACAAAGAACAGGGAAAGATATCTTAAAATTATCTTATACATCAATTTTATTCGGCAATCTTTCGAAACTAATATCTCGTTAATTATTACAATTACAAAATGGTACAGGATTTTTCGACTCAGTTTTTATTAGAAATAGCTCTGCATGATTAGTGGGCGTTATTTCAGATACACTCAGTATATCTTTGTATATCATCATAAAATTAATTGTTCGGATAGTACGATAGTAGATTATTACATCGATAATTTCTTCAGACTATTTAACAATTAATTGTCTAAATATTGTATTACACAGAAATATGGATTTACATATTTAAACACATAATATAGTGTCATTTTTACACAGAAAACTAAATAATAATTTAATATATATTAAATAATACATGATCACTTTTTACACGCTCGGGCAGTGTAATCTGCAAAATCCATTCTATTATTGAAAAAAATAACCGTGTAAAATTTTCAATGTTCCGTACAGATCTCAAGCAAAATGTGCTCAGTGGAACGGCGTATGTTGAGGATTGGGAGCTTCATGGCGAGGATGCAGCAGCGTAATTAGAAAGATCGTGGTACACGTAACACTTAGCGGGCAAACGATGACCTTTAGCAGCGAGCACACGGCTGCACTTGCGAAAAAGTCGCATCGCGAAGTGGCATGTGGTTGAGAGGCGGAATATCTGATCGTGAAGAATCCAAAGACAAATTGTCTGCAATCGCGAGAGAAACAAATTGTGAGAAAACTGGTTGATCTAGCGATGTCAATGCTTGGGACAATCGCATCGATACTTCATTTACCCTTACTCGTGTTATCATCACTTTCTACGACCACGTACACAGTCTCTCAGAAAGAGAGAGAGAGAGAGGGGAGGGAGGAGCACGTTGTTCATACATTTCTCTTCCTCTCACTCGGCACGAGCGGGTCACGCGAACTCGTCTCTGCGCTTACCTAACGGCATAGAGTCATCTAGAATGTAATTACAATTAGAAATTCTCCTGTGTATTTTATGTGAGATAATTCTATTAATTAGAATATCATCATGCGGAAATAATTCTTAAATTAATGTGCATCAAAGGTTACATAATTAAATATAATAAATAATTTTGTTAATAGATAATTTCAGTAAATAATTTCTCTTTCAAACTGACGTTCGACAATTAAGAGACTCTTTCACACTTTTATATTATTAAAATTTTAATTTTCAAACTCGATTGTCACATTTCATTAAAGTAATTATTGCAACTTTCTCTTCACGTATCAATACGTATTAAATTAAATAAATATTAACACCTGAAAAAAAGAATAAACTTCATTGTCATGTCCATTTCATGCGACGCAACGATTAAATGGCCGGTATGTATGCTTTATTGAATATGTTATTGCTGAGAGCCACGAACGGACTGTCATTCCGGATCGATGGACTCGATTGTAACTTGACACCGCAATGCCTACATGTCGCAAAAACATGTTTATCGTGTGGATTTCATTTCCATCCTGCTCGTATAAAAAATGTTTTAGTATTTCCTATGTCACTCCGAAATACCTGGAGAACGGAACAATTGTTTTCCGAAACGCGAATGTCAAGGAACCACGATCGATTTGCTTGCTTCCCGCAACTTTTCGCGATGCTAGATCAACGTTGTATATTTCGGTCACTTGTCAAAAAATCAACATTAATTTCCAATCGAGAAGTTTATGTACATTACGAAAACTGTTTCGAAGTTACGTATTTATTCTGTCTTATTTTACGAGGTTTCAAAAATTATTCGTAGAGAAGGAATTCGAGCATACACCGATCGTTACTAAAGAATGTCAATGAATGAATTTCAGAATACGTCATCATAATTTAAAGCAAGCACGTAAATTTCGTGTTCGTTCAGACACTTTTTACCTTTAATAGAATTTCCACGAAGTAACAAAATTAAGATGCAAAATTATTTTCCGTTCCTCTCATTGCTGCGTTATCTTCAAATCTACTTGGAAGCTTTCTTCGCTTTGTTCTAACTCAAATTTATGTGACAACTAATCACTTTCTTCCACGCTCTGCAGACATAGAATGTAAAAGACCAAGTCTGTGCTATCCTAGTTGTAAAAAAACATTTCTCTTCGTATGTATAAAATCAATTATTTATTATTCGTCATTCATAAACCAATTACACGTTAAATGTGGTCCTACGTGCATCTCGTTTTTCTCGTCGTCACGGTATCCTGAGTCTTTATCGAAAGCAATCTTTGTGGCGTAACATGATTCGATCCCGCAAATTCCTCTCCTCTCTCTCTCTTATTCTTTGCTAACCGCACGATACACTGGATCGCGTGCTACGATCCAGAACCGCAAGATCGGCTATCGTGGGCCGCGAGCATCTCTCTCTCTCTCTCTCTCTCTCTCTCTCTCTCTCCTGATAGATATAAACTTTATTATAAAGGGTTGTTGTCAATAGTCAGGCTTGACTCATAGAAACGGGTTCCGCTCGCATTCCGGACATCCAGCCTGCCGTTCACGGCAGAAAGTGCATCGCCACATCGATATCTGTGCGCGTGATGAGCAAGATTCCGGTAAAATGCAATTCACAGAGAATGTACATCGAATTTGGCAAAAGGTTCTGCAGCGAATTTGCAAGAAAATGCAAAATAACGTAATATGTTAGATATTTGAATTTATATTGTTACCCCTTTCAGTTCTGTTTAAATTCCAATTTTTATATGTTGCTTTAACGTCTTTAAATTGATCTATTTTTTAATATATATATATATATATATATATATATACACTTCTGAAGAGCAAACCAAAGCTTAACCCAATTATTTTATTCTTGTTGATAATAATTTATTTAATTTTCCAGTTACGCTTGCCTTTTATTTTTGTTATCTGACTCTGATCAAGAAAATGTCTATCATTAGTCTTGTACAATTCAGAGCTGTAGTGAATGTCACATTAATCGACATGCACACTTGTTTAGTGAATTGATTCTACTTATTAGTCGAAGAATTAATCGGCGGACACATCGAGATAATCGGTACAGACGTTGTTCATGATTGTAAAGTGAAAACGACGTACGGATTCTAGCCGCGCGAATCGCTGGACTAATACAGGGTGTATTTAAGTTCTCTGACTCTATGCGTCGTGCGTTTATTTACGGCCGCGTAATTTGCATGGAAATAGAGAGAAGCACGGTTTGAGGAAGTCGCTTATTAGTAGCAACCAGGATATTATCAGCACGATGCCATTGACATCATTACCGTAATTCCCATCGTTTCACTCAGATAGTGAGAATCTCTAACCAGAATGGATGATGTTCGCTTATATCGCATGGATTATTTGCAAATTTATTAATTTGTATTGTAAATTAGGCGCCTTTCAACTTTCAACGACGAGTCAACCCAATTAATCTTGTATCAAATTCTATTTTAGATCAATATTTTAACAGAGATTTATTAGTAAAAATATGCAACTAAGCATGTGATCAATGCTTCTGTTTGAAAAAATTTTGCTAAAATATCTATAAATTTAGATAAATCTGAAAATAATTTTCATGAACATCAAAAATAATTAAGTAATTATTATTGTGATAATCTAACAAAATTATTTTCAGATACCTAAATTTTTAAATACTTCAGCAAAACTGTCCTTTCCATGAAAGAGTCGAATCTCTCAGAAGCTAAACTAATTCTCAAAGGCTCAATTAAGAATTAATTTCAGACATTAAAAAAAATATATACATATATATAGAAAAATATATACTTTCTTTTATAATATCAAATGTTTCCTGGAAGGAAAAAATTGTAATTATATTAATTCCGTGTTTTCTCCGCGTTCCATTTGCAGATATTGTTTCAGCGCTCATGGCGGCTCGGTCAACGAAATTATGGGATTACGTGTGAATGTGAGGTTTCCCCGGCTACGACCGAAGTCCTATATCGTTCTTATCCAATTTCACGACTTCGTCATCTTCCATCGTGGTTGTGGCTTCGTTTTTTTCCTTTTTATTTCCCGTCGACATTCGCGACAACCGGCTCTTCTGGCCGTATCGCGCCCACATCAACGATCGATATTTAAGAGATAAATAAATCCCTCAGACAGTTGGATACGCACGTACTTTTATCCTACTTAAT